TTAGGAATTCTGAATCTTTTGAAAGTATAGCCAATGCCAGTTCTGAAAAAGATACACAGCCTGGTCGTGCAATGTTTATGTCACTTTAAACACACATGAATGTGCACAGGATCCCTAAGTGCTCTCATGTGTGGGTGAGCACTTGTGTATACAGCATATAAGATCCTTTGGTTCAACTAGTGGGAATTCATGAAATTTAGATCAGCAGCTGTGGAGCCTGCATGGGACTGGACTAGGCCCTCTGCATGGCAAGACAGTTATGTAGCATGATCTGCTTAAGGGGCCCCCTGGCAGTAGGATCAGAATCCATCCCTGGTGCATGAGTAGGCTTTGTGGAGCCCACTTCTATGATGGGATACCTCCCACAGCCTTGAGGCAGGGGGAGGGGCTTGGAGCTGCCTCTACTAAATGTACCTCCTCATGGAAGGCCTTACCTTCTTGTAGGAGGGAATGGGGGGGGTTGGGAGGGGGAGACTGGAGAAGCAGGAGGAGGGAAGAGGGGGATCTTTAGTATGTAAAATGAATAAAAAATTTTTTCTTAAAAAAAAAGATCCTTTGATTTTTGGTTCTTGACACTCTCCATGTGCTTGATGTCAAGGGCTTCCTGGGCAGTTTGGACACTATCAATGTGCTTCAGTGGACTGCTCCTCTGTTTGCTAACCCTCTGATTTGGCCTCTCTGATACAAACGAAAACCAGACATGAAAGCTAGAGGCTACCACTACAGAGTCCCAGCTGAACTCAGGAGGAAGTCCAGGGGCTTTGTCTGCAAGAAGAGTTCAAAGCCATTTGTTTTCTGAAGGGCCTGCGTTTGCAGTATTTTCAGCAGCTGTGGGGACAAGGCCGAGCTTTTGAACAGGGTCCTATTTTTCCCCTCCCATCTGTTGGTAGAGGTTTGACAAAGGATAACCTAGTTGTCCAGGTAGGCTGAGGATTCTGTTTTGATGTGTGAGGAGGAAGTAGGGGCCTCTGCAACTATTTATCTTCTCAAACTGGAAGATTCCTATCAAGATGAATTATACTATAGACATAAAGTTGATGGGACAAGCCTTTCTTACTCTTTAGTTACTACCTGTACCTCTGACTTGATTGTTATATCAAGTCTCTATCTGCCTCCTACTTTGTTATACATACTCGTTTTGTTACTCTTGTTCCTCTAAAGAATCCTGGCTAATGCAGACTGCAGTATCATTGGCATTGCCACCCCTTGATTCTTGGACCCATGAATCCCGACTGGAGGAGAAACAGTACCAAATATTGGATGCTGACTTGGAGTATACACAGCCTTCTAGGGCATACTGCCCCCCAGTTCCACTCTCCAGGCTATTGTCATCTAGTTGTCACCGTGACTGTGTTTTTAAAAGGCCATTCCATTACTCTATCAAGCCAGTTGCTTCAGGATGGTGGAGTACCATGTAAGAACAGAGCATTCGATATGAGTGCACTGCTACACTTCTTTGTGAAATGAGTTCCTTGGTGAGAAGTGATTCTAGGTGGAATACTATGATGGTGGGTAAGGCACTCTATATGACCGTGGATGGTAGGTTTGGCAGCAGCATTGCATCCAGGAAAAGGAAACTCATACCCAGAACGAGTATCCATTCCAGTAACTTAGATCTTCATGCTTGTACCATGAGCTCTTTACCCACTGATCCATCTCCCCACTATCTAATCCTTTAAAAAAAAAGTCAGTTGTGGTCAATGGATGGACTCTAGCCAGCTCAAACATGACAACCATAGCTCTGGTAGGCCTTGCCCTTCTCCCCCATTCCTTCTGCCCTGCTAAAAACCATTAGATTACATCCCTAAAGCTAGCCACCAAGGTCCATGCCCTTATTTGGCCACTTCCTCCTCTTGAGGCTGACTACCAAGGTCCAGCTATCAAAGTATTAAAGTCCAGCAATCAAAAGTCCCTTTCGCTCACCTAATTAACATGCCCAATTAGAATTAAACACCTAATCCTAACATGGGGGTTTCCCCTTTTACCTTTATAAACCACCATTTTCTTTGGGCCACATCTGTCTCCTCTCTTTGCAGAGGCAGTCCTATGCCCCCCTCTGGAACAAATACCCCTGCCCCCTCTCCCTTGTTCCCTTCCCCTTCTCCTTCATCATCTGTCTCCTGTCTTTGTCTCTTATTCCCTGCTCTTTGAGCATCTGGGGCAAATAAATCTCCTTTGTGCTGAGAACTTGGTCTTGGGATGTCCTGAGATGATACTGGTCCCTTCTGTCAAGGAGGTGTTTCTCCACTCAAGAAATGCATCCATATTTTCTTACCCTGCCTGTACGTTTCCATTATTTATATTCCAAATACATTTTATTTTTGTAGGTTATAATGACCCAGCCTTAATATTGCCAATTTGAGGCCACTAAAGTTGCATTATAACCTGTTGTGCAACAGTTTCCTGCAAGATTGCAACATTCCATCCTGCAGGAAAGCTCCTTAAGCAGGAAGGTAAACATCTCAAAATAGCTTCAGGGAGTATCTGAAAGTGACCAGATTCACTAGGTCCCTTACTGCCAGAGGAAGGAAAAAAGTTGAGAGTCCTGCTCAGACAGAAGAAAGCTGAGCTGCAAAGAGTCTTCCGTGATCTGGGCTGCCAAAAAGGTTTAGACAAGCTAAGTTACAAAGGTTTTTATACCTCTCTTGTTATTGACATTTATAGCTATAAATAACTAAAATTATAATTCATATTTTGGAAGAATCAAAGGGTCACTTTGAAGATGCCTTTTGGGCAATTCACACAAAAGAAACCTTACTGCTTGCTGCACATGTAAAATGGCATTTCAATGGATCAGAGAAATGTACATCTAAACCACTTTATAGCTACCAGATTGGCAAAAACAAAATTAAAGTTGAAAGTGCCAATTATATAGACGAACAAGAACCCTTGAACCTCTCTGGAGGGAGACAGAATATAACTGTAGCTAGAACCATTGTACACAGCATCAAGTCCTAGCTCTAATCCTGACACCCTGTGCCTCCTTAAAAGGTGCTTCACAGGTGCCCTTGTCCTTTTGCAAGTTATAGAACGCTTTGATACAATCAGCAAAATATGAATGATGGTCATCAATCCTTCTTCAATATTGAAGACCAATCATCCTCCCACTACAAGTTTATTAATAAGAGGTATATTTCCTCTCAGAAACAACTGAACAGGGTCTGTAGAGTTCATGTAAAGATCAGTTAAAGAACATTTAGTTAAGTCTAGTATAGTTTTCAACAAATCAGCAACAGCCTGATATACTCAAAATTGTAACCCTCACCTTTTACCTATGCGGGGGTGGGGGGGGGGGGTTGGTTGCTTTCTAAATATATTGTGAAAAAAAATAAGATGGCCAATTATTGAGGAAATTTTTGGAACAAAATACAAAAAGCTTTTTTCCTCTTAGTACTAAAGTGAATTCACAAAAGAAGCATCTAAATTAAGGGAAAAGGACACCATCCAGAATCTTTGACTAAATTCCAGTATCTTGAAATTATGCTGTGGAAAAACTAGAGAGTAAGGTACTTGTGATTTGTCTGTGCATCCTCAGTCTTGAACATAGTAGGGGCCTGTTAGATACTCGTCAACTCCTTGTATGCATGTGGTAAGAAGTCAATCCACAATGGAGGGCACTGTATCCGGGGGGAAAAAAAAAAGGAACCCAGCTACAAGCAAATCAAAATTCCTAGGTTGCGGTAACTATTCCCACCTTTCTAGTGCCTTTGCTGTGAAACATGGCAGGGGGAGGGAAAGAAGGAGGAGGAAGCCTCCGTTTTTAAATACATCAATAAATTATTCGGACACACTAATGGCAGCAGTATTGGGAAACACTCAGCGAGAGGCGGAGCTACTTCCGGTACCAGGACGGAACCACTTTGCTCGAACATGTGCAGTTGGGCGGGAAGGATTTAGGAATAGGACCACTTCCTGCTTCTGGATAGGGGCGGGTGCGGAGAAAGGAAATCGCTGTGGGAGCCGCATCCTCCCTGCACTAGCGGCGCCAGAGGTGGAGGCAGAGAGGGCGGAGGAGGCAGAGAAGGGTGCCGCAGAGAAAAAAGTGTCAAAGCCAGTAAGTCAGAGCCGTAGAGCAGGGGATGGAGAGCAGAGCTCCAGGGCTCGCTGTGCAGATCTGTGATCTCAACTTGCCGAACTGCCCAGTGGGGTTAGGGCAGTGCTTTGTAGGTCGCCTGTCAGTCAGCGCCGAAAAGAGACTGTTGGGGCGCCTGGGTCAGGCCTTACGGGGCGCCAGACTGCGCTGCTTGCGGGCCGACCGAGGTGTTTGGAAGCCAGGGGAAGCCTGTGCTGTGCTTTTCTGGGGACGCTAGGGCTCCGCATCCTGGACAGCTTCACTTGGAATTCTGAGGGAATGGGCACTATGCCTCCCATTTTACCTTTGGAAGCCAGCGAGATCCTGATGGTGGACAGTATCCGACTAAGACAAGGGCTTGGGAGAGTGTTAGTCTGGAGCTATACTTTCCCTGCCCTTGTTCAAGCTGTCCGGGCTGGTCGGAAGCCGAGTTGTTTTCAAAAGCAAATGCCTCGGCCTGCTCCCTGTCACTTCAGAACAAGTTAACAACCTTCAGATCCAGTGTCACGACATGTTTCCTATCCGACTCATTAAATTAGTACTGCTGTGGTTATCGAGTGATTGCTCTGCAAATATACTTGAAGGCGAAGTTAAAAAAAAAAAAACACTCCAAGTGCATTTCGAAGAGACAAGACCGACTAGCTTTCATGACTACTTTCACACTTTCACTCACCCTCGCATATAATCAATCGACTTAGCATCCTTAGTTAATGATAGTCATCTTAAAGGCATTCCATTCCATTATGATTGTGCCTCTGCACAAAAATTATATTGGGATGTAAGATTCTTGATTACAGACGAAATGACTGAAATGATTATATCAGAAACAGTTTTTAGTAAGTTACTGCTTTTCTCTCGCTTAAGGTACGGCTTTAGAATACGGTGAAGGATACTTTTCATGGTGCATGGAAGGAAAGCCAATGCGCAGGTAAGCCATTTAAGAAGAAAAAAACGTTGATTTCACTGATTGAAGTTTAGTGGCTACTAACGGTACATCATTTAAGATTATTTTATTCACAAGCCTTACTAAATCCTGCTTGGAATTAATCATTCTTGTTTCAAGTAAACAAAACTAATAATGTCAGAAATTAGCAGCTTCTTTTGTTTTTTTTGTTGTTTGGTTTTGGTTGTTGTTGTTGTTGTTGTTGTTGTTGTTTTTTTAAACAAGAGCTTACCATGTAGTCCTGGCTGTCCTGGAATGTGCTATGTAGACCAAGCTAGTCTCAAACTCACAAAGATCCACCTGCCTCTGTCTCCCAAGTGCTGGAATTAAAAGTGTGGCCACCACACTCTGCAGCTTTTTTAATGAAATGTAGGAGTTAGATTTCTAAAAAGAGTTTGGATTTTTCAGTTCTACATACTTAAATCTGCCTTTTTGCATAGTAATTTTTGTTACAAATAACCATAAGTGTACTATGGTGCTTTATGTGCTTATTATAAATTTAATTCCCTGTATAATATAGACAATTCTGTTGTCAAATAAAAGTAGTATTTGAAAGACACTGTACTGCATCCCTAGTTATGGTTTGGTTATTTTACTGGTATTCAATAATATGTTTATTAAATGGCTGCATGAAAGGGAAGATTAAGGACTATAATAGATGTAGGAAAATAGAAGTGTCAGGAAACTGTGCACAATTATAGGTTCTCTTGTCTCTAGAATTTACTAATGCCTTTTCTCAATCCATCCTAATACAAATTACATTAGAATCTTTATTGAAACAAGTCAATTCTATTTATTCCTTGTTTAAACTCGTACTTGTTATCAAACTCTATTTTGTCCTATGTTACTTAACATCAAAGATAAACAACACAGAGACGCTTTAAGAGAAGAGAAATTACAGCATAAAGACGGGGCTTAGAGCTAGGAGAAGGGCTGGACATGACTGTGCAAACCCGTAAAGCCCGGCACCTTGCAGGCAGAGGGAGCAAGGTCACAGGGTCAAGTTCAAGTAAAAGCAGTGAAAGTATATGTCCTTTTCCAGATTTGCTGTTGATTTATCAGTTGGCTTTTCTTGCCCTGTTCACTTTACTGGTGTATCTACCCATGATATTTAGAACTAGTAAATGTTCACAAATTTTTTAAGATGTCCAAATGATAAGACATCTTAGAGGTAACACTTTCCATTATATATCTTACCGTACAGTAAGACTAGTATTAGATTGTAAAGTACTCAAAGAAACTAACTACACAATATTAAGTGCTTTACCGTTTCATTTTCTAGCATGATTACAAAGTCCTCTGATTTTGTCTCATCCTCAGTTGCCATAAATGTCGTATGTTAAGTAATTGCTAAAATAAGAACTTAATATTTTTAATTAAATTTTATTGAAAATTTTTTTATATAAATACAGTTGGATCATATTCTTTCCCTTCCCCCAGCTCCTCCCAGACCCTCCCCATTCCCTACCCGTGCAACTTCATGTTCTTTCTCTGTCTTAAAACACACACACACACACACACACACAACAACAACAACAACAACAATAACGAAGATATGGTGTGTGTTTGTTGTTGGCCAGCCACTTCTGAGCATGAGACCTACTCTGGAGTGTGGTTGATGTGCCCAGGGAAAACTGACTTTTCCTTTCTCAGCAACTGTCAGTTGCCAATAGCTTCTTGGTTAGGGGTGAGGTTTTGTGCCCAATTCCCCTACTCAGTGCTGGAATTTATAGAGGAAAGTCAGATTGTGGCAATGTTTTTAGTTTCTTAGTAATTTCTACATAAAATGTTCACTTGTGCACTCGGTCTGAGGAGCTCTTTTGCTTGCTTTATTTTTATTACATAATATTGTCTGTTATTCAAAATGATGTTGTCTAATTCTTATGCCATCAATTATTGAATTTTAACTCTTTATTATCATCACTTGGCCAGAGGCCAGCCTACCCACTATTCTTTGGTCTCACCTTTACTTAATGCTGCCTACATTAAGCTATGGTCACAATTCCCTAGCCTTTCCTTCTACAGAAACCTGTAAGGCAATGCTGGGTCTATACTCAGCTGCTGCTAAAGAAACTTTGAATAAAAGTAACTCTTTTTATTGTGATTATTTGGATACATGCTCCTTCACAGATTGTAAGTTCACCCATAGCACCTAATGCATACCACCATAATAGCCATAGCACCTAATGATTGCTAAATAATTGTCTGAATGAACAGCTCCTCCAGCTTTTCTCCTGGATGGGGGCAGGGTCTATGGACAAGAAAAGATTCAAAATTATCGTTAAAGGTATTCTTTTGTAGTTTTAACATTCTTTTTAATTGTATGTATTTATGCAGTAAGATGTGATAATTTAATACATGTATATAATGTGTATGATCAAATCAAAGCTATTAGTCTATTCATCTCCTAATGTGTTTTTTCATCCATTATGGAAAACACTATGAAAATTCTTAAAAACAAAACAAAAATAACACTAAAACTATCACTTGGCTAGCTATCCCATTACTATGCGCGTGTGTGTGTGTGTGTGTGCGTGTGTGTATATATATATATATATCTCCAAAGGAAATGACATCACTGTATTAGAGAGATTCCTGTCCTGTCATGTTTATTGCAGCACGTAGACATGGTATATAATCACCTGAAGTATCCATTGAATAGAGAAAGTATAATAGTAAACATAAACACACACACACACACACACACACACACACACACACACACACGCCCCATTATTTAGCCATTAAAAAAAAAAAAGAAAAGAAATTCTATCATTAACAGCAACCTAGATAGGAGTTTGTTACCATTATGTTAAGTGAAATTAGCCAGATATAAAAAGACAAAGCTGCATATTCTCAGGAGTAGAAACTAAGGTAAACTGATTTCAGATAAATAAAAAAATAGGATATTGACTAGGAAAAGCAGGAGAATGGGAAGTGTAAGAACACTGAATAATAGGTTCCCAAATAAGAAAAGTCAGTTATGATATTTTACAGCACAATAGGTTAAGATTTATAACAATTTATTATGTGTTTTATAAAAATCAGAAGAGAGGAATTCAAAGGTTCCCAGCACAAAGAAGTGATAAATATAAATACTTAAAGTATTATAATTCATAACTATACAGTTTTATAAAATGAACTGGCATTTTATTAGCAAAAGTTTTAATTATTGCACTAAGAATATTTATGTGTATATGGCACTACATTTAAAAGATACAATAGCATATTCAAAATTGGGCATAGCATGTGGGAAGGGGAGGCAGAAGGATCAGAAATTCAAGGTCATCCCCAGCGTAGGCTATACAACAAGATTTTATCTTAAAAAAACAAAAATGGTGACTAGTAAGTCTCCCAGGACAGATCCCAGGTCCCACTGTTCTTCTCCAAAGGCATAAACAGTTTCTTCTGCATTATTCTTTAAGCCTGTAATTCATGTACAAGCATATACAGAATATCTTCTCTTAAAAAAAATACTAGGGCTGGGATATTGGTTCAGTTGGTGGAATTCTTGCCTATCATGCTTAAAGCCCTGTTTGATCCCAAACACTGAATAAGCCAGGTTGAGTGGCATGTGATTGTAAAGGGACTCAACTATAAGCAAATTTGGAGCCAGCTTGGGCTATGAGCTGCTGCCTCAAAAGTCAAACAACAACAGCCACCCAAAAAAAGGAGAAGAAGAAGAACCCTGGACTTCTTTCCCTTTAGCTACAGAAGGACAAACAAAACAAAAATGGTGGAATTCAAGACTGTAACCATGAAATAGTTTGGCCTTTATCATTTTATCCCTTTAAGAGCCAATGAGCCGGGTGGCGCAAGCCAGGTGGTCGGTAGTGCACACCTTTAATCCCAGCACTGGGGGGGGGGGGCAGAGGCAGATGGATCTCTGTGAGTTCAAGGCCAGCCTGGGCTACAGAGCACGATCCAGGACAGGCACCAAAACTACACGGAGAAACCCTGTCTCGAAAATCCAAAAACAAAAAATAGAGCCAATGTACATTGACATACAGCTCAGACGCTTAAAAGGTTGCTGTCCAGCACTGGCTAGAGCTGAAGTTGGATTCTGAATAGTTCTGAAAGGAAGGATTTAGAAACACAAAACATTGATGTCAACATATCATGCACATTGTTCTGTATCTTTACCACTTCACAAACTAACTTGTGAGCCAGTGTGATGGCACATTCCTGTAATCCCTACACTCAGGAGCTGAGGCAAGAAGATCCTGAGTTTGAGGCTAGCCTGGGCTGTACAGCAAGACCCTGTTTCTATTTTTTTTAAGTGACCAATACATATAAACCTCTCCTATTCCTTTTTATAGTTACATAATATTCTGACATTTGTACATACCATACTTAAACAAGTTCTATAGTGAACATCCATGTAGGTGATTTTGCTCAAACGTGTAAGCATACTATGTGTTCCTTCCACTTTTACATTGGATCCCAGGATCAAACTCAAGTTTTTGGACTTCTACGGCAAGAACTTTTATCCATTGAACCACCTGGTTGCCCCAGAACTCTAGAGAAGGTAGATTAGGGACAGGCAAGATGGGCCAGGGGATAACAGTGCCTGCCTTGTTTGGTCCTCAGAACCTGAGTTTAGTACTCAGAACCCGCATAAAAGCTGAATGCTGTGACGCAAGTTTGTAATTGCAGCACGCCTGCTGTGAGATGGGAGGCAGGCAGGAGAATCTTCCGAAAGCTTAGACAGCAGAAATGAGAAACCCTTCCTCAAGGTAGAAGATGAAAACCCACTCCCAAAGTTGTCCTCTGACCTCCACGCATGCACTACAGCACCACTCAAACAGACACACACATGCACACACAAAAGTAAATTTTTTTAATTTAGAAAGAAGGGTGTTAGAACTGGAGATGTAGCTCAGTGTAGTGGCACAGCACTTGTCTGTATGTGTGAGGCCCTTGGTTCGGGAAGGTGTGCAAAGGGAAGTGAGCAGGGGATAATAAGGACACTGTAGTGAAAGAGA